CATAGGGAAATCTATGAAATAATGTACTTAAAGCAAGAGACACTGCTGTAGACTACTAGAAAGTTACTAAAGTAAGCAGAATATATTACAAAAAAATTTAATTACGAAATTTCAACCAAACTAGATACAGCAATGACGATTCAGTAAGTCAGTGAAAGAGCTAACAGTAAAACTTATTTTGAAAAAAAAAACACGCCATGACGCCTTTCAAGTAAACACAAAGTATGAAGCAACAATTTAAAAATCATCTTTCTGCTGTATTACGGAGTCACCTGAATCGACGGAGGACCGTAATCCCTAATTTTCTTACTGCTAATCACACAGTCAAATTATTTTGATCGCGAATCATTGATTCCACTTATTAGTACCCCTCTTCTAAAAGCTTTTTTTTTTTTTCCGAATTCTCTTATCAGTTTCAAAAATACCTTAATCTTTTGGCAGTGACACGGTTTTCTGTTAATAGCAGATTCTGTCACGATATGTTGGTCACATCGTCACGACTTTTTTTGGTTCAGCCTCAATTACCCCATTTGGTAGCCGTGTAGATGGTTTTCTAACGCATATAGACAAGTCTACTATTTCGCCGCTCTACTGTCACTTTCATCCGTAAAAAACTCGACCGCCTCAAAGATTCTCCGAGTTCCTTTCGCAAAAAAAATGTTTTTCATGAGTTAGGACTTTTGAAAAGAAGACGGCACATCAAGTAGCCTTCTACTCAGGTTTTAATCAGTATACACGTTTAATAAAGAATCTGTGATAAACTACTGATTCAATTTTTACTGTAGTAGTTGTCCAAGTTGCTGCGAGTGATTTCTGACCACATTTGAAAACATGATTAGATCAAATAATACTGAGAACAGCGCATCAGCACTTCCAACATTTCGAAATGGAACAATCCACTGGAACTCCTAGAATCTGCACAGACAGTTCGCTGTCTCTTGAGAACGGTTGCCGTATTTAAAAAATTTCAAGTAGACTGAAACTCTCCTATTGAAGGGACTCATGGATAATGTAACCGTTGCAGAAGAGTTCGAAGTAAAGAGGCACCAGGAAGGTTTTTGGTGTTTAGACAGAAGCGATGCATTCAGTACCTCTCTTTATTGAGGGTTCCACCAAATCTTTTGGCTTGGTCGATATCTAATCTTTAGAAACATATATCTTTAGAATTAGGACTTGCAAACAAGTGAAGCTTTGTTATTTTGCTATAATAAGAAATTCCCAGGTAAAATGAACAAAACACTAAGGAATGGAAGTACAGACAGAGGGTTAAAGGGTGAAAAAAGCATGGAGGGGTGTGAATTCTATGTTAGTGTGACAAAATGAAGTTGATGTCGCAGAATATCTTTGGGTTTAAAAGTCATAACACTGGTTTATGATCCGGTGAAGGGGAAGGTGTTGTTGCGAAAACACCTTGAAACTTTCATGATTAGAATTTTTATTTAATAATAGAGGATAAAAAAAACACAGTAGTATAGTGATTTTTGGAACACTGAATATCCTGAATGAAGTTTTAGATTTCTGAAGCGGAATTGATCTTTTATTGTCGTTTTGGGCCCGAAGGCAACAGTTAATTGAATTACGGATGCTTTTTAACAGGTTTTTTTCCTACTTTGTAAGTGAGGGCTTCAACCCATTCTGCTTTGAGGACTTTTGTAGATCCTCTGAAATGTGAAAAAATTCTGGCGAAAAAAGTGATTTTTTAATTCCCGATGGTATACACGTTCTTTTTTGGAGAAAAATGGTTGAAAATTAAGCAAAACAAGTTTCAAAATTTTTGGGCGATTCAAGTAGAATTCAAACGGTTAGATAGGTAATTTAAATTGCAGTTATAAACAGACTGAAGCCTTCACTTCTTTTTAAACCCCATCTGAATCGGATTTTTAGTGTGTTTCAGTGGTGAAGAAACAACTGCAGCTTTTGAGGTCTTGGCGGAGAGGCTTCAATAGCTTTCCTGAAAGCCTCAGAAATCAATTTTTTTACACTGCAATTTTTTATTGTGCTCATTATGTTAATTTTTTAATTAGAGACCTTTCCATCAAGTAATATGTGTCAGCTGCAGCTACAGAATAACCATTTAATTTGATAAGTAAACATCCGATATAAACGCCTAAAGAACTTAAAATGTTGTATTCCTAACCAAGTTTGACCGTAAGTTTTATAAAAAACTGATGATAAACAACAATTCAAAACTCTTCAATGTGTCATTTTTTAAAAACGTTTGGTATGCGATCACTTTTGCTCTTTATCTGCATTCGTTCCGGTAATGATAAAAGAATGTCTGATTTTGAAAAGCATAAAAGCACTGGCTATCAGTGAGATGAGATTTGCCTAAAAATGGGTTAAAACCCTCTCCACTGCACAATTATTTTGAAAAATAATTGGGCAGAAGAGACGATAAGAAATTATAATAGCTTTTTAGCTCATTTCAGGCTTTTTTTTGTTTACAATGAGACAGTATAGAATGTTGATGATAAAAAGCTTCAGAGTGGTTAGAACAATCTTACAAAAGTGGTACTAGTGGTGCTAAAATTTGCAGTTTTCAGATGACGAGATTTACCGTTAATAATTTGGATTTGTTACTTGAAAATATTAACAGTATGATAAGAAATATAAATCAACTGCGTATATAAAACTGTGGATAGAAGGAGACAGTATTGGAAAAGTATTTGCTAGTCCTTGCAATAAAATTTGCACTGGTATAGCTGCTGGATATATTAGCTATTTGGTAGCCAAATCTGTACGACGAGACTCCTGCTTAGTAATTTATGCTCAGCTTTTTTTTTTTTTTTTTT